TTTTGGAGAGATAAGTGAGAAGCAGATTCCCTTCTTCAAACTCTCTAGAGCAGGGGTGCCCAAACTCGGTCCTGGAGGGCCGGTGTCCTGCAGAGTTTAGCTCCTACTTGCATCAACACACCTGCCTTTAAGTTTCTAGTATGCCTAGTGAGAGCTTGATTATCTGGTTCAGGTGTGTTGGTGCAGCCATCTAAATGAGACACAGCTTATATATACCATGCTCACTCTGTCTGTCACTGCTGCTATATTGTATTTGTCTTCCCATGTCTTCTTGATGTTATCTGGAGTTCACCGTGTTATTCTGTTTCTTTTGGATTACCTTTGTTACTTTCAATAGACTGCACCTGGGTTCTTACCTTGTCTCTCTTGGCATTCCGTGACACAGAGAGCTTCACAAAGCCAACATCAGTTGGCTGCATTTGTTAGAATGTTAATCAGAGACACCAAGATGAGCTTCAACTTCTGCCTTGTCCAGATAAATCACCTGACTTGAGTATTATCAAACCACTGTAGGTAGTTTTGGAGAGATAAGTGAGAAGCAGATTCCCTTCTTCAAACTCTCTAGAGCAGGGGTGCCCAAACTCGGTCCTGGAGGGCCGGTGTCCTGCAGAGTTTAGCTCCTACTTGCATCAACACACCTGCCTTTAAGTTTCTAGTATGCCTAGTGAGAGCTTGATTATCTGGTTCAGGTGTGTTCAATTGGGGTTGGAGCTAAACTCTTCTGGACACCGGCCCTCCAGGACCGAGTTTGGACACCCCTGCTCTCGAGCAACTGTCAGAAACAGTGATAGAATAAATAGATATAATATGAGTCTATTCTAAGAAGGTTGGAGGCTGCATTAATTGTTAATGGTGGTAAAACACCTATAAAACATTAATAATGAAATGTCACCTATTTTACAGGCATTGTTTAGTCCAACCCCTGTAGAGCCCTCTGAAATCTGTTTTATAACCCCCCCCCCCCAATGTTGTGTTTTCCTTTAAAAAAAATTCTGGATTTAGTTTCAAAAGTTAAAAGGATGCCTAACCAATTGAATTATGAATACAACTTTAGTAATTCTATCTATCTATCTATGCAGATTCCATTAGTGTGTGTAGCACTAAACTGATTGGCTACTAATGGCTACATGGAAAAACAGTTCTGTGCATGTTTTATTGCCCAGTGGGCTGAGGCACAATCTAGTGCTGCAGATGGTCGAAGTCTCTCCATTAATCTCTTATTGGTATGTAATAATTTTTTGCCACTGCATAATTAATAACGTCACTTTGATTTCTATAGTCACGGTGTATGATTACAAAGTGCGCATGAACACAACATTTTTCCTGGTGATGTCAGTGAGTTGTTGTATGACAGCCATCCGTGTCATTGAGACTGACATTTGACCAATGTTGGGCCAGCAATTGATGGGAAATCTGGGGGCGAGGCCAGGCTAATGAAGCCAGCAACGGGTCAACGCTTGATACAAATCTTCTAAAGCCCACAGGGAGAGCGCTCAGGTCTTGGTACTGCTAACACTGGGCCTGCCTTAGGCCTTGGTTTGCTGGGAAGGCTGGGCAGAGGCCAGGCTTCTGCTGGGTGAGGGATATTTCTGAAGGACACTGGGGAGGGTACAGCTGGTGTCCCTGCTGTTCGGAGTGTAAAGCAGCCAGCCTCCTGAAACTAAGCCAATCGGCTGCTGTTGAGAAACCGTCTGTCCTCAATGGAATCAAACCCATCTCTTGTACTTCTTTCACCTCTGTTCTGTGCACACATCTGCAGTTACTGTCTATACATGTTACAGTACAGTACTGAACCTTAGAATATGGAACAGATAACGTTTTTTGGGTTTTGGAACAACATTCTTATTAGCTAGTCAGGTTTGAGGGTTAGATTTGGCGACATGCTCTTGGATCAGCATGTTTTTACTGGAGCAACGTTCCCAAGCTATCTATATTTCTAACTCCAACCCTAACCATTAAACACAGTTTAAATCAGAAAGATAGCTTGATAGTTCTGATTGGTTGTTGGGCATGTTGTTCCAGCTCCAGCAATGATCAAGGAACACATTTCACTTCACGGTCAATCTGGCATTTGATTGATGAATGTTATTCTTTCATTTGGTCATACTTGGCTAAATCGCGTTGTACCACATACAAAGGTAGGCCTCAAGGTTCCAAGACAATTAAATAAAAATATGAATTCTGAGTAAAAATATAGATTTTCCAATCTTAAGATTAATGTTATACTCTGTGAATGTGAGATTGTGACATTTCTGTTGGGTTCGCAGACTGCAATGAAAGATGAACATACAGTACAACATGACCTGTTTATTCTGATCCATGAACAAATTACTCTTATGATCCATTTCTCTTAAGTAATTCAGAAACATACTGCATTCATTTGCCATACTCTACTTTTTACTATTATATTTAAGTCATGAAATTGTAGGATTTTGCGTTTCACAACAACTTCTTGCAAGCAAGACCAGTCATATGTAAGAAAATGGCTATTATAACTGAAATGTACCCAGTGTTATCTGAATTGAATCCAATCAGTTCATATTGAAATATGAGTCCAATCAAATTGGGAGCTTGTGAATCATAATTGGAATTAATAGGGAAATCTGTCTCAATTCCTAGCCCTAGATGGCATAAATATAAGGAATAAGTTATTAGCATCACTGACATCCTTACTCACTGCACCAAATCCTGATCACTTTCAATGAAAAGGAGCTCACAAATCCTCTAATTTGCAGAAATGCATCTAAGAGATCATAACCTAAAAGGAATAGCTGACATTATTGCAGTGTGTACAGGCACAGTCACAGCCACCTGCAGCACACTGCATACGAATTCAAAATAAAACATGATGACTATAATTAATATTCCAGTCAGCTTAAGTGCACATTAAATTACCTAGAACTGCATCGATAATGCATGATCTTCCATTTCTATTGCTTTCAAAGAAGAATAGTGTTTGGATATGAAATCCACATGTTTTCTCATTTTTAAAAAATGCAATTACTGCTTGCTTTGCAGGTCTAGGTGTGTGTGAGTCAGGGTATCTCAAGGTAAGCGTTGGTATGCAGACACAAGCAATGACTTTGTACTTTGCTGATCACTCTTTGATGAGGCCATTTGCAGAACAGCAAACATAGAGGTGTCTCTCAAGAGACAGCAGCAGGTGCAGTCACAGCAGAATGCAGACGGAGAAAAACATTAACCATTCAGTTGTTCATATGGGGTTATAAAGTTATGATTAAGAACCCATGCAATTAACACTCTCCCATCCTGACCACTCCCTGTCATCGAAGAGGGTTAAATTCAAGAGGGTTTCCATGGTGATTCACCAGGACACATAGAGGATCAACATGTTACGTCACTTCGCAGTCATACATTTCTAGCTTCGATTTCTAGAAGGAAAGAAATTAAGCACAAAATTGCATTGGTGTGAAATGACACACACAAAAAAATCAGACTTGGTGCTATTTCTCGTTTCATAGATGTGAGAATTGGACAGTGTCACTTTGGACATCATATAAAGAGAAAGATGATTAGGGAAAGACATCATGGCAGTGGTGAATGTGTAAGAGTTAAATTGATACAATAACAGCAGATCTGGGAATTGAATTATTCATGACCAGTTGTTTGACTGAAGACTGAACATTGTTTAGAAGAGCTGTCCAAAGAAGCTGTTATGAGTCGACATTGAATCAATGGCACTTAACAACAACAGATTTGTGCACATTAATGGATGCTGTACAAATATCAAATACACCACAAAATCAATGCAAAACTTAATTTTTTTATTGTAGTAGTTAAATCTGTATTCTTTAAAAAAACATCGTTTTCTATAATGAATTTCTTGAACTTGAGATTTGGATTACACATCGCTTCATGCTCTCTTTATCATTTTTATAATTAATGTAATTATTACATTAAACACCTCATCAAATCAAACCGTAATTGACTAGGCAACTTTCCTTCAAACTGTCTTTCAAACTTCTTTAATAATTTGTCATTTCTTATTACAGTTATATTTTAATTGCAGCATTTTAAGATTTTGCATTTCACAACCACCACTTGCAAGCATAAACCATCTGACATTTAATTTTAAACAAAAGAGATGAGTCATTTACCCTTCTTACTTTTTATATCTTTGTTCTTATGCAACAAGCTGGCCTTTTGAAGTGGAGGCATTTCACTGTGAAATTGTCGAACTCTGAGCACAGCAACAGTGGGGTCCACATAAGAGACATCAGGCGACCCACAGGGAACTGCTATTAGCTCTATCCTCAGTCCAGATTCAGGCAATTTCAAAATTAATGAACATCAGACTGAATAATAGACACTCTACAAGCATCTTCCTTCACGATGGGAGGTCACGTTACCCAGAATTCATCCCATTAATTAGCACCTGCCCTTTCCTTGACAGTGAGCCCTTGCTATTGATAGAGCTCTCTCTGGGGAAATCACAACCTCTACACCTAGTCGTTCTTCTGCGAATTCTTTGTCTTCATGTGTGCACGAACATCTACAAGTCACCATGCCGGGACTTGCCATGTACATCATCCAGCTTCCAACCTCTTGAAGTGCATGCACACGCTCCAAGGATGGTTTCGTAAATGTCCTTGCTCACTGTCCTTGCACCCTTTGCTTAAGAGGTGTGAGGATTCTAATACTAGCTGAGAGGGTCATCTTAGTTGACTGCTGCCAGAACCATTGCCTGCTGACTGCATCATCGTCCACGGTAGCCAATCACAGCCAAGGACTTAGTGATGCTATGCCACTCTCACTGGAGGGATTCCGAAGGAAGTGCCTCGTGACGGCGCATGGTTAAACAGCCAAGAGTCTGTTTCTCTCTCCCTCCCTCTCTCAGGATTGGATGCATGCACGATTTGGTTTTTACAGGGATAGCACATTACCATGCACACTACTCCCTGCAGGCTCAGCAGAGAATAGAGACAACAGCAGCTCTCTCTCTCTCTCTCTCTTGCTCTCTCCACCTCTACTAGACAAGACTCCTCCTCTCCATCTCTCTGTGACTCCCTCTCTCTTGCATATGATCTGTACTTCACTTCCTTCCAGCTGAAGCAGGAGATAACAGCACGCTACATACAGGTAGGCACTCATATTTCCCTCTCTGAAGTTGCAGGTGTTTGGATGTTGCTGGTTTGTTTTCGTATAGGATGCGATTCTGAAAGAGACCTACACTGGGTCAGAGTAGAGCATGCCATCATAAATGCCCGCCCCTACAGCGTGGCGTTTGTTTTCATGCCAGCGCTGCTTTTGGCACCGTTTCCTTCCTCTTTCTGGCCAGCCGGGGAAGGTGGTAGTTTACTGGTTGGATGGTTCCTGTGAGAAACCCATCATCTACTGCCACGCTTAGCTGAGATCTGCTTATCCAAGTAGGGGAAAATGATTCACACATTTGTAGCTGGAGATTGGAGATGTATTTTCTTACATGTAGGTTTGTGTGTGCGGGTGGACGGCTGAGGTTGGAAGGGAGGGGAGATGGAAGCTGAGATGCTGTATTCATCCCAGGGAAACTAATCCCACCACAGCTCTCCGTATCTGATAAACACTCTCTTCGTCTTTTCTCCCTCTACCCTTCAAGTGTGATGGGTTTATCTGTGGCGGTGGATAGTGGAAAATTATTCCAGTGGAGGAAATTACTTCAGAATGGCAGATAATTCCCACAGTAAAAGAGCTTCTTTCTTCCCTAGAAACCATTATTTGTTCTGCCCTGGGAATCACGACTGCCAACATATATTTGGAGACAGGTGCTCTCTCCTTCAACCTAGAGTGGCAGCCAAAGAGAAAGTAGGTTCGCCGTGTGTCAATATGAATCTCAAGATTGTTATTAAATCGTACTTGACTTTTCTTCTCAACTCAAGCTCTCCTTTTGTTTGCAGTTGAGGGATTAAGAATGGATTGCATAACAAGCTGAAATCTCTTATAGTCATTATGTTATGAAGGACTTGGTCCATTGTGGCTAGCTGCTGCCCACACCAACAAATGTGCCTGTCATTACCTCATATCTCTGTTGGGCAGATCAGCGGTTGCTATGCACGCCTAGTGAGAGCGAGGAGCAGGGATTGCTTTGCTATAGCCTCTGGCTTATCCAATTCAGTTGTGCAGATCCTCCTCTGGAATACATTAGTGCTTGTGGAGCTGTGGTCAACAGTTGCTAAGTGATACCAAAGGAATATATTGAAAAACTCATCAAAATAGATCACCACTTCATATTAAGATGCAGGTGGTGCACATGCCATGGTAAACTGTGGTTCTTATGAACTTACCAACACGACTTTATTTACATTTTACTATCAAAATGTTCTGTATCAAAATTATTCAGGTTCAGTTGGTGCGTTGATTCAAATCAATTAAGTCATCAATAAGTCAACAAAACAAAAAAAAAAAACTTTGTATACTTTTGATTTTGCCACTTCATTTATATATTTATTTTAATGTATTTATTTTTTAATAAAAATGATAACCATGGACCTCAATTATGATTTTCTACAATATTCTTTTTATTATAATAGTTTTTATTTTTGTTGTTGTGTGGATTTCTTGTGATGACTGAATAATGTATAAATGTGAACTTAAATTGGTCTACAAAGAAAATTAGCTGTTACTTTAAATCCCATCCCATCAATAATATTCTTCATCTGAGAGAAACTGTTGGCTCGAAAAGTTCCATTTTCCCAACGGTCTTAGATCTAATATCACCCCACGAGAGGTTTCCGGACAACCACAGCAACACGGCACTTGGATTTGACCTTTCAGGGCAATATGGGATGGCAGATGTTGGCCCAAATATGTCACAGCCCTGCAGTTGCCAAGGGTAATGTCGTGCATTATCAGCCTTGTTAAATATCCATTAATGAGGTGAGATACGAGCCCGGTATTGCCGAAAGGTGGAGTTAACCATCCCTTCTTCTGTTGCTTACGCTCAGCATGGTATCTCTGGAAGTCTTTAATGTCAGCCTGTGAGATTAGGATCAGTCACCTGGATGATTTTCTTTTGTCATTCGCCTACACAATTCCCTTGTGTGTTGAAATTGTAGGTAGAGAAAAAAATGTGAGCGCGTGTGTACATATATGTGCGTGTCTGCATAGGCCAATACGCTGTTGTTAGGAGTAATAGCAGACAGAAGATAAACATATTATGTTTTGACCTTGGACAGCTGGCTGGTTGGCTGCAGATACCTAGGTGAGGGAAGTGTACGGATCACCGACATGCTCCGTGAAGAGTCTGGGGCAGCCATGATAAATGTGTGCAATAGCAGAGTAATATGTTCTCGTTACGTTACACCACAGCAGGTACAGACACCATCTAAACAGCACTCACCATGGGTTTGAGTAACTAGGACAGATTCAAAACCAATAAAATATTACAAACATGGAAAATTGAAGGTGATCTCATCTTTTTTTTATGCAATCGAGCTTCCGGTGACGAGATTAAAATCTAAGCCATAAGGAGATGTTATAATTTATATCCATTATAATATATCCATTTATTTCCTTTATATCCATGGGACTGAGTATTAAAACCTAGCAGTGTCTTTTTGGCAACCACACCAACAGTAAGGAAGTAATTCTTCACCCAGTGACTGAGATGAATAACAAAAAACAAGCCTGTGTTTGTACTGGCTAGCAGCAGGGGTCATACATATCACAAGCAGCAAGGACTTATGGGAAATACTGGTGAATAAATATTGTTTGATGGATCAGAGAACAGGAACACTCTCAAGGTCAGTAGGAGAGCCATGAGACAGAATGTTTGACAAAGTGCTTTGACCTAATATAATATAGACCTATTTTAAAGGTCTTGTTGGAAATCTATCTATCTATCTATCTACTACACTTGGCCGATCTCACGAACCGATCGCAATTTGAAGACGTCAACGCGTGACCACGTACATGATGCGTGGGGACATAAATGATTTGGCACCACAGTCATGTCATTGCCGGTGTGGAAATGCTATGACATTTCGAGAAACAATGAGAAATTCGCTATTTGTCTGATCGCGGCCGCTCTAATGCATGTTTTTATTCTGGCCAGCCGCGGCATGTTTCTGAAGCGGCTCTCCGCGCTGCTTGGCTAAAAGTAGTCTTTTGTGAGTTGTCACAGCGTGGAGGATGGAACAAAACCTCTTCGGAGCCGTAAGGGATAACGGTAACATAACACGTTGATCGTGGGCTGCTTTTAAATGAACATTTATTTATAAAACAAAATATCTTCTTTGGCCATATTAGCCTACTCAGTAGCATTAACACAGGCTTTACTCCTTTCAAACTTTATCTGGAATGTCACCGTTTCTGTCACTGCAAATTCCCAATCAGGTGAACGAACACACACACACACACACACACACACACACACAATCAAAATTGTCTGCCTCATGAAAAAAGTTAATATTTGTATCATTTATGATTTAATTTATCCACCCGCAAATAATCAGAATGCATTTTTTTATTACCCGACCCACGGATTATCCGCAGCATCCATGGATATAGGAAAAGCAAAATATCTATGTTTGCTGCGTAAATCAGACGGACTTACTGAAAATGCAAAATCATTCTCTGCCAGCTGGAGGGGCTTTAAAGCGGTAGAAACAGAGGTTTCCCCAGTAACGGCTGTACACAAAGCAGCGCTGAGCTCACAAACGCTGCTTTATCAGGCATATAACATGCAAGATGAAATTTATATCCATGGGACTGAGTATTAAAACCTAGCAGTGTCTTTTTGGCAACCACACCAACAGTAAGGAAGTAATTCTTCACCCAGTGACTGAGATGAATAACAAAAAACAAGCCTGTGTTTGTACTGGCTAGCAGCAGGGGTCATACATATCACAAGCAGCAAGGACTTATGGGAAATACTGGTGAATAAATATTGTTTGATGGATCAGAGAACAGGAACACTCTCAAGGTCAGTAGGAGAGCCATGAGACAGAATGTTTGACAAAGTGCTTTGACCTAATATAATATAGACCTATTTTAAAGGTCTTGTTGGAAATCTATCTATCTATCTATCTACTACACTTGGCCGATCTCACGAACCGATCGCAATTTGAAGACGTCAACGCGTGACCACGTACATGATGCGTGGGGACATAAATGATTTGGCACCACAGTCATGTCATTGCCGGTGTGGAAATGCTATGACATTTCGAGAAACAATGAGAAATTCGCTATTTGTCTGATCGCGGCCGCTCTAATGCATGTTTTTATTCTGGCCAGCCGCGGCATGTTTCTGAAGCGGCTCTCCGCGCTGCTTGGCTAAAAGTAGTCTTTTGTGAGTTGTCACAGCGTGGAGGATGGAACAAAACCTCTTCGGAGCCGTAAGGGATAACGGTAACATAACACGTTGATCGTGGGCTGCTTTTAAATGAACATTTATTTATAAAACAAAATATCTTCTTTGGCCATATTAGCCTACTCAGTAGCATTAACACAGGCTTTACTCCTTTCAAACTTTATCTGGAATGTCACCGTTTCTGTCACTGCAAATTCCCAATCAGGTGAACGAACACACACACACACACACACACACACACACACAATCAAAATTGTCTGCCTCATGAAAAAAGTTAATATTTGTATCATTTATGATTTAATTTATCCACCCGCAAATAATCAGAATGCATTTTTTTATTACCCGACCCACGGATTATCCGCAGCATCCATGGATATAGGAAAAGCAAAATATCTATGTTTGCTGCGTAAATCAGACGGACTTACTGAAAATGCAAAATCATTCTCTGCCAGCTGGAGGGGCTTTAAAGCGGTAGAAACAGAGGTTTCCCCAGTAACGGCTGTACACAAAGCAGCGCTGAGCTCACAAACGCAGGCATATAACATGCAAGATTAAATGAAAATGACATCGAAAATTTTCTAAAGATAGTCTTCCTTCAGAAATACAGTGATATAAAAACACCCATGCCTCGTTTTAATTTTTAAACGTGCAGTACGTGCTCATGTTTATTCAATGAAGCCTTTTGGAAAATCAGTCAGTTTTGATATTGTGGCGAGCGCCACAAATAAATAAATGTATGGGAAACATCCCACAGCACAACCACCTGAGCCCAACTCCAGTCTGGTCATCACGT